ATCATTCTTGATTTCTAGATTTCTTCAGATTTACCATTTTAGTGGAACAGGATTTTGAAAAACAGTTATATGAAATGTTTGTTCTATAAAAAGCTTAATTGAATTGATGTACTTCATAAAACCAATATTTGGCTACACCAAAATCCAATATAGAGAGCTGATGAATAAATGCAGAAATATTCAAGCTATCAAACACTTAACATGTGGACAAAATAAATTGCAAATTTATCTATATTGTGCTCATAAATAAATTTTGATAACTTCTAAGACAAATTCAAGGTTATATGTGTCTCCACTGTTGAAGGTTCAGAACTTCAAACATGATTTTCTTTAGTTCCATAAGCATAATGTTAAACTACACAAAAGAAAAAAATTTCAACATTTGTGAAATAGAAAGCTTATAACTGCAGTAGCTCAAACTTACAAATGTGGGAAGATTAGGGTTTTTCTAAGCTCTAAAGAGCCCTCAGAAAACACATGTTCAGAGGGCTAAACTCTGAACCTATTGAAATATAAGCAGAAATCATGCTAGTTACAAACTAATTATGTCTGTTGTGTTACTGTTACTTCTGTTTGAGGTGGGGTTTTTTTGAACAAACTAATTGTTGCAGATTATAGTAATGTTATATTTTATTATGCAATTAATCTTAGTTTCCAGGAGTATTTCTTTCTATATCTTTTGGAGATTAGTTTAATGTGTCATATTTGCCTTGAACCATAAAAATAACTTGCTAGAAATAAAGGAGAAATATTTATAGCTGAGGGTTGGTGTTCTCTGAGCTTGTTTTTTTTGCAAAATGTTTAACATCAGACCAACCATCAAGAAATAAACAATGCCCCAATCAAGGAACTGTCAATCAAGCTAACAATAAACAGCCCAACCAAGGAATCTCCAAGACCACTCCCACCAACACTGACAGGGCAAGCCACTAGAACAGAAACTGAGAGCAAACCCCACTCCTTTCTAGCACTGATGATATTACCTAGTTTGGGTAATGAAACATCTGCAAGAAAACAATCAAGCTCAGAAAACAGCAAGGACTCATCAAAAATGTATCTAGTCAGCAAAGATATCCATTTTTTTCATTTTAACCTTCTTTTTGTGTCTAGTCATATCTTCCTAAAACGCCTTTTTATGTTTTAACTTGCATCAAAAGCTATTGTGAGCCCAGCAGTTAAATTGGATAGTTGATATATTTGTAATTTCACCAAACAACTCTTCTCAAAAGCAGACTTGATTTTCATTTTTTCGTCACTCCCCAGTTACTGTTTACCAATCAGTAACTCAGAAAGTCAGGGTTGAACATTATACCACCTTTAAGTGAATGTTACTCTTTTTTGTCCCCCAAAAAACTTAAGAGTTAATTAAGGTCAGAAAGAAAAAAGGTTCGAATCTCTCCTGAATGCTCAACTTAGAAAACTCCTGAGGTACAAATAGCCCAAAGTTATAAATATATACAAATATATATAAACATATGCCAACATGAGATCTACAAAGGGTTGTTTGAGTGGAAAGTGTATAAACACAGATACTCCTTGACTTACAATGATTCATTTAGTGACCGTTCAAAGTTACAACAGTACTGAAAAAAGTGACTTTCTTGCAAATTAATCTTGTCTTATTTAAGAATGTACGGTAAGTCAGATCCAATGTTATTTTCTGTTGTGCTCCTGCCCTCTCCGCACATGAAGAAATAAACAACCGAATAGGTGTGCAATATCTTCTCATAAGAGCATTTCTTTTGGAACTTAACAACCAAAAAGCCTATTAAGCTGTGATTAATCCCTATTGATAAGTGTAAATACAAATGACCCACAAGATCTAGGTTTGAAAGTCAAGGACTATAGTAATGAAAAGGGACCAAGATAACGACCAAACTCATGATAATAACAGGTACAGCAACCAGACTTAGAACTGACATTGAAAATAAGTACTGAAGTGTTAGATAGCTTCAGCCTTTTAGGATCAATCATGAATAATAGAATAAGTGATCAAGAAAAATGTCACAGACTGGCACTTGGCGGAGCAGCCAGAAAGGCCTTTGGAAAAAAAAAAGAGATGTTGGAATGTGCCTACAAAGATCAGAGTTGTGAAGACAATGGTTTCATTAGCAAACGTGAAAGGAAAGAGAAAAGATCAGCCGCAAAGTGGTTGATTCAGTTTTAGGGATGTTGATTATACCACTGAAAGACATGAAGAACCAGATTGGGAACAAAGCAGACTGGAGAAAATTTATCTGGATGGTTGCTACGAATAGACACTGACTTCATGGCACACAATCAACATTATCAAAATACAATTGGCATATATTTTTCAATGGAATGTCTTTCCTGCTGGCATTACCGCAATGCTCCCATCAGCATGTCAAGAACAGCTGCTCAGAGTGTTTTCATGACTGACTCAGCCCATAAACCTGATTAAAAGAGTTCGGGTTTTTTTGTTCTCTAGAGAGCTTAAGTTTGTTTCTTTATTTTCAACATATAGCTTTTCTTTATACAACAGGTGAACTTTCTTTTTTAAAGTGCTTCAATTTTCATATACAGGTAATAGTATTATATTGCTGCACTGTCATTTAGCTTATATGTTATAAACTACTAAATATCATAAACTAGTTTATGTATTATATCATACCATTTCTGAGAAATAGACAATTCATCCTCAAATCAACAAGCTGGTATGGCTCTGGATGAAACAAGTGCAGCAGAAAGGTATGGGAAAAGAAGATGGCCCACAAGAACTGGTATGTGCGGAAGACCAACAAAAATATACAAAAGGACATCACTGCAAGAAGAGTGGCAAAGAAACCTGGCCACTCTTATTGCAGAGGCCAAAGTCAATCACTACTGGTATTTATATGAACAACTGGACACCAAAAAAAAACAACTAGTGAAAGTGCACACCAAGTCAATTAAAAATATTACATAATACCTGTGGACACTACATGGATAAAAATGCAGGACAAGTTTAAAATTCTAAAATGCTAGCAGCAGCACTTTGACAAAATCTCTTAATATATCAAATTTCCACACCCACCAATGCCTGATGGCTTAGCTAAGGCTGGCCCAGCCCTGTGCATTATATTTGAAGAGGTTACTAAAGCGATGAAGAATTTGAAAGTACCTAGCATGGGCAATCTACCAGTAGATGTCTGGAAGCTGAAAGAATTTCACCACAGAGCAATTGAGTGGCTGACTAGCTTCTTCAAAACTATTTTATGGTTTGTGGCCACATGCCTGCTGACTGGACCATGAATTTCCCTCTTCAAAAATACAGGTGATTGCTGTAATTACTGACTAATCCCTGTTGCCTCACATAATGAAAATTTTTGAGCGAATGCTTAATCAGCTTCTCTGTGATATCACTAAAATCAATATGAACTAGTGCAGTTTTGACAAAAGCTTGACCACCATTTTTATGACCCACATGCTCATGGAAAAGCATTGAGAAAATTACACCTGGATTTCCTTGACCTAAAAAGAGCTTTTGAATGTGTTCCACATCAGCTGATGGTACATACTACATGGCCATGATGTGCACAAGCTACTCATAAAATGGGTCCAGATCCTCTATGTTAATATCTGGAGCTGAGTGAGATGTGCTGGCCTTTCTGAGAGCTTTCTCATGAAATCTTAGTACTAATGCCATTGTTGTTCATTCTCACCATAGAATCTATCACATGAGATCTGCATCATAGTATTCCCACGGTCTTGCTCTACACCAAAATGTCTTGCCTTTAGCCTCACTGTAACAGTGTCCAGACATTGAATAATTATCTTAGCCACTTCAGTTTGCACCTCAATATCAAGACCACCAAATATTTGGAGACTAGCCAAGCACCTTCACTATCTACATCATCAGTGAAGATCTAGTGAAGACAAACTCCTTCCATTATGTAGGGTTCCCAACTGCAAAGTGATGGTGACAATGATGGAGGAGTGTGTGCATTGAGTGAATAAAACCTGGCTGCGATCAAAGATTACTGGAGTGCTCTGTGTTAAGTGCATGCCAAATCGCATAAAACAAAGAATATAGAATGATGGTTTGCTCAGTAGCACTGTACGGTGCTGAATGCTGGCTCATCACCAAAATAATGAATGCCTCTATATCCCATTAGTGCTGTGTTGGTCATTAGACCTTTTTGACCACCCAACAATACAGTCCATTAGCAGATGAATGTTGCACCAATAAGAGGAAATCCAGGAAAAACACTTATAGTGGTGTGGCCAGATTTTATGAGCAGCACCCACAGTCACCTGCACTGCCTACCACTTTAACACCAAAGGAAAACACCTGCATGGAAGACTAAAGCAAAGGTGGCAGGACACAATTGATACAGATTTGAAGATTACCAGTTGGACCCAGATGCTGCAGTCAACCATGTGAAATAGCATTTGTTAATCTGAAAAGCAGACCCTGAACCCCTGGGAAAATGCAAGGAAGATCATCATTAGATATGTATTGTTTTCAAATTTTAATAAAACACACACACACACAAAAAAAATAGAAGTTGCACAATTATTCTAATCCTCAATGGACCTCCATGGGAGAGGTATGCTCAGGTAAATAGTTTTGTCTGTCTGACGCCGAAGGTCAGAAAAGAAAACCCTGCAGCTTCGCTGAAACACAACTCCTAATCACTTAAAAAAAAAAAGAGCGAAACACAAGGAAAAAGAGCCTAAAAGGAAGAGGGGCACTTTGATCAGTTTTGTTTTCTGTGTGCAGCGTCTGTAATTTCTCTCGGAACGCGCTCATGACACAAAAACGTGCACGCACAAAGCTAGCACCGCAAATTCTCTTCTTTTAAAGAGCGCGCGAAGACCCAGGCAGGCATGACGTAGCCAGGCGCGTCACGTGATTGACTTGTTCTCTCTGTCCTTCCTATCTTCCTCGCCCCGCCCGCTAATCAAGCGTCTTTTGAGCTGCGCGTGCGCATGCGCTTTGAAGGCTACAGCAAGGAAAGGAGGGAGGTGTTTTCTTCTCCCTCTTCCCCCCCCCCCTCGTTTTCTCTAGCATGGCAACCGCGGCGGTTGGGCGCGTGCTGGCGGGGGGCCGCGGCTGGAGCACAGCGGTCAAAGCCAGAAAGCTGCCGGTGGGGTCGAAGGTAAGGTCCGGGGGCGGGGCTAAGCCGTCGCGCGCATAGAACCGAAGGCGTCGTAGCGCCGTTTTCCAACGTAGCCGCAATGCCTGCGCTCTGGGCTGTTTGACTTCAGTTCCCCAAAAGTCTGACGTCGGGGCGGCGGTGCAGCACAGTGAGCCGGGACCTAACGGCAAGTCGCCGCCGCCGCCGCTTTAATACCTTCCTGGGGCAAACCGAGGTGAATATGGCTGTCCGCATGCGCGCGAGGCAGCATTTCTGAAGTATCGGAATCGTTTGTCTCAGGCATTGTTGGTTTTAGGACCACCATTGTAGGCAGAAACGTCTCAAGGGATCCCAGATTTCTGCCTGCAATATCAGTTAAAAACAGATTAGTTGCAGTGTTCGAAGGAATAATAGAGATCATGATGTACTTTGCAGAAAATAAATGCGTCTGATGCATACTTGCAAGATTTCTGTGCTGCTCTATCATGTCTTATGTTTTTTTTAAAAATCGGTAGAGTTTGAAATCTATGGCATTAAGAGAAACCTCGGGAGCTATTGAAGACCTTTGCTTGGAAGCAGAAAAGCAGAATCTAATTCATGGCAGGTGACTGAAACAATTGGGTGGTTCCTAAGACACAAGAAGTTACGGGTGCCAGTTACTTGTCACATGTGGCATCACTGCTGCACAAGCTGCATTGGCTTCTAGTGCGCTTCAGTGTGCAATTCAAAGTGCTGGTTGTTATCTTAAAGTCCATCGTGTAGTACATAGGACCAGATTACTTACAGGACCATCTCTACCCATTCAATCTGATCTGGCAGAAACGATGCTCCGGGTATTGTTGGCTGGTAGGCCCAGAAGGAGAGCCCTTTTCTATCTTTGGAACATCATTCTCCTCTGAGATTAGATTATTCCATCCCTGCTGGCCTTCTGTAAGGCCTTGAAAATTGACTTTATGCCTGAATCTGTGACCCTAGGCATGAGTTATAGCCTGTCTCCTGGTCGTGTGGATAATAGTTTAGTTTATGCCTGCTGTTATGTATTTCTATTTTTATTGCTTTTTATATTTGTGTGTGTGTGTGTGTGTGTGTGTGTGTTGTAAGCTGTCTAGAGTCATGTTAAGTGAGATGGGCAACTATATGAATAGAATGAATGAATAAAAACAGTACACTTCAGAAGGACTGGCAAGAAAGAATGTGTTTGGGCAAATATGGCCAGACTGATTACTAAGTTTTAAACTGAATTTAAAAAGTGAATGGGGCCAGAAATGAAATGTGTGAATTAAGAATTTCACAAAGAATTGTACAATTGGTGAAATTGGCCTTTGAAAACTATTCTGTGAAAAATAAAATTAAAAAAAAACAACTCACTGGCTTGTAAAGTTATACAATTTATATTCAGCATTATACAGTAATAATCAAATTACCGGTATGATAATCAACTTGAGCTTGAGATCTTAATACATAGAGTAAATGTGGTTTAACAGATCAAAGTGGAAATCTGATTGAGATGACTCTTATGACTGGAATATACAGGTAGTCCTCGATTTACGACCACAATTGAGCCCAAAATTTTTGTTGTGAAGTGAAATATTTGTTAAGTGAGTTTTGCCCCATTTTATGACTTTTCTTGCCACAGTTGTTAAGTGAATGACTGCAATTGATAAGTTAATAGCCTTGTTAAGTGAATCTGGCTTTCCCATTGACTTTGCTTGTCAGAAGGTTGCAAAAGGTGATCATATGACCTTGAGGCACAGCAATGGTCATAAATTTGAACCAGTTACCAAGCATTTTTATCTCATGAACATGGAGATGCTGCAAAGGTCATAAGTGTGAAAAATGGTCCTAAGTCACTTTTTTCAGTGCCTTTGTAACTTTGAACGGTCACTAAATGAACTGTAGTAAATCAAGGAGTACCTGTAGCAGTTCAGGTATATACAGTACAGTACAGCACAGCACTTCTTTCAAAAGGAACAGTAGCAGTACAAAGGGTGAACTTTTGCAAATATGTTAAAAATAATTCATTCCTGCTCAGAAATCCAAATACATGAACTTGGCAATGTTGTAGAGACTATCAGAGTTAAAATAAGTGAAGGAACAAATAAAAGTAATACTATTGTGGTGTCTACCATTGCCTGCTCAACTAAAGAAAAGATGGGAGAGAAACTTCCAAAAACAAATTTTAGATTTTCCAAGGATGCATGAAAATGTAGTAATGAAAATTATAGGGAGAAAAATCATACCAAATATGTTCTTCCAAGACTTATTCTGGATTTAAGAAATGGAGGAAGGCACAAATAGGTTCAGCTATTCTTTACAGTAGTAATCAGTAAAGAAGATTAAGTTGAGAAAGTGGAAGAAGCAGGAATATTGGAGAAAAGTGACCTTGCTAGAGGTCTTGATGTTAGGGAAAAGTTGAATATAATCACATGTGTATTGAGTTTAAAAAATAGATAATACATTCAGAATTATAACAAGTAGGAACCAATGGTAGGAAAAGATAATGAATAAAGGAGCTCAGGGTGAGTGAGAGTTTATAAAGAAGATGATACTGATATACAATTGCAAGTCATTTCTATAAAAGAAAAAAAGGACATTAAATGAAGCCAGTGTGCCTTCAGATAAGCTTTCACAAATATCTGAAAATAAGGACACATAAAATGAAAACAAAACACACAGAACAGGTTCCAGACAAACTGACAAAAAGTATACCATCGGGATATTCTGAAGAACAAGACGAAGTGGTGTAACTTAAGCTTCAGTATATATTTATAAATATATTTAATATAATTCTTTTCAAAAAGAGGAAAAATTGCACAAACTAATGTAAGAGACAGTTTTCACAAAAAATCTGAAATCAGTTGTCTGTTGCCAGATCAAGAGACAATTAGAACTGTCTCTCTCACTTAAAAGAAGATGATTTCTAGTCCATTAACACCTTGTGAATAGAAGAAAGAATCTTGATCTTATTGTAAATATAGTTTGCATTTGATACATAGCCCAGGGGTTTTTTCATAACAGCTTATCTATAGTAAATCTATACGAAGCTTTGATCCTTGAACCTCTGTTTATTGCTTCGCAGTCCATGTTAATGTGGAAAGCCTGACAATTACAGATCAGTCAATCGGACATTGATAACTGGAAAAATTCTAGTGGAAATAATTTTAAAATCTACCTTGAACCTCTGTTTATTGCTTCGCAGTCCATGTTAATGTGGAAAGCCTGACAATTACAGATCAGTCAATCGGACATTGATAACTGGAAAAATTCTAGTGGAAATAATTTTAAAATCCACCTGAAGTTATCAAAAATAAATTTTGCCAGAATAGTCCTAATCTGGATTTGAGGTGGGAGGATTATTGATAAATTGTGGAAAAGCTATAAATTTTGGGGTCATCCACATGGCCATTCTTGCTTTGTTTTCTTCCCGTTCCAGAACTGGAAAGGCTTCTGTTTCCCTAAATCTTGCTGTTCCCCACAATGTATACTTTCTACACATTAGAACAGCTGTACTACAAAGTGCTAAAAGGACCAATAATTGATGGGTTCCCATGGCTGAAATTCATACTTCACTGTGATGTACCTCACTTGCCATACTTTCCTACTGGTTATCAGGGCATCCATCCAGAGAAATGTTTTGTGCTAGTAATGCTGATAAAGAGAAACTGAAATAAGGAGTGTGTTTAATTCCTTATAAGAAAATGTTCCCATTAGAACATTTTGGCATCAGAGATACTATCTTAAATTCAGAGAACCTCAGAGAAGAAGAACTGGAAGAGGACTTGATATGTCGTGGCGAGCACCTAATGTAGATCTAGACCAGGGGTCGGCAACCTTAAACACTCAAAGAGCCATTTGGACCCGTTTCCCACAGAAAAGAAAACACCAGGAGTCACAAAACCCTACTGCTTCCCCTCCCAGCACTCCACTGCTCCATCGCTGCTGTTGCTTATCCCCCTGTGCGGAGCGCCCTGCTGCTGCTGCTGCTTTCTCCCCGTATATCCTCCACCCTGCCGCTCCTTTTCCCTCCTACCTCCCCCACCCTTCTGCCGCTTTTCCTCATACCTCCCCCGGGTGGAGTGCCCTGCCGCCGCTTTTCCCTCCTACCTCCCCCACGCTGAGAGCCCTGCCGCCGCTTTTCCCTCCTACCTCCCCCGTGCTGAGCACCCCCTGCTGCCGCTTTTCCCTCCTACCTACCCCATGCGGAACGCCCTGCTGCCGCTTTTCCCTCCTACCTTCCCTGCGGCTTTCCCAAGCAGCAAAGGTGGAGCTTGGGAGGCAGTGGCAGGGCGTAGCCCAGGCATGGCCCAGCAGCAAAGCTCGTCCTCCCCACTCAAGGCGTAGCAGCAGGATTTCTCTCAATAAGGCGGGCGAACATGAGCGAGCAGCGCACCCACCTCTTATTATTTGAGAGCAATCCCTCTGCTGTGCCTCCGCTTTCTTCAACCATGATCCCCGCTCCCCAGCCAGCCAGCTCTTCATAAATTTAACATGGACATAAAAATGTTTCATCACCTTTATCAATATTACAAAGAAAAGTTTAAGAACTTTAATTGTGCTTGAACAGGTTCACTCATTTTCCTCTAGTCACTCTCTTTGCATCTCTTACCCACTTCATCACCCTCTGAAAGCCAGAGGACTCACAACAATCCAAACTCATAGAGAAGATCCTGCAATTTAATCTGAGCGGTCATAACCTTTCATTCCAGCATGATTATAGCAGGTTATTCTCTTATCTCTCTTTGTCTCTGTCTCTCATTATATTTTCAAATATTTTTATTAAGGATTATAAATGAAAAAAGTAAAAGCCAGTGCAAACTGTAAAAACTACAAATAGAAAAATAGAAAAGAAAAAAATTGCAGGGGAAAAAAGAGAAAAGGACAGGAGGTCCTTACCTGTCATCCCAACAGGTAAAAACAATTTTAGTAGCTTATCTACCATCTTTAAATACAGCATAATTATCCCTATACCTCATCTCTTAATTAAAAAATCATCAAAATATTTCATTAAACGTTCTCTCTCT